GAGGGCGACTCTCTGCTTAATTGATGCAGTGCTTTATTTTCACCTGGGGACAAGTGGGTCAGAATTTCAGTAAACACTGAAACCTCTCTTTAAAAAAATCGACTCTTTTTTAAGCACGTAAATGGTACTGTACATACAGTTTGGCCAGGCTGGGTTAAGCTCCATGAACCTCAGACATTTCCTTTGAGTCAGGGAAGTCGGAAAGGACTGGGGGAAAGTTCACAGGTTGGAAAGCTGAAAAGTCTGTTTTGGAAAGTGCACCTGTTTTTCATTCACCAGCACACCCCTCGCCCTTTGATGCTTGCAGAAGAAACAAAAACACGGAAAATACCTGAAGCCAAACTGAGCACACGCTCATACCGGGGGCAGTGGAGAATAACTGTGATTGTAACACATTAAAAACTCTCGCAACAACAGAAGACAGCAAACGAAGGAAAGCCAGCGAGACACAAAGCAGCACCAGGAGACAGATACACCGTGTAGACAAACACAGGATCAAAGGAGACCATGAGGCACGTGTCCACCAGACGACATGTGTGTCAGCAAAGGACAACACTGGAAGGCAGTGGAGATGATTTCAGCTATTCAAGAATCAAAATAAAATTGGATGAAGTTTAAATAAAATCCTCTGTTGTTGAATCAAAATAGCACAACAGAGATATTCAAGGAAACCCCTTTAGTAACTTAATCCATCGAAGAACAGCTTGGCAAGCAAAGCGAGTTCAGATAATCACAGAGAATGGAAATATTCAGCAATCAAAGCAAGATGGGCAACTGGCATGAGAGATGAGCCAGCGCAACAAGAAAAATAGAAAATTCAGAGAATTCTTTTGGGTTAACAATGAAACCCAAAACGCTGCACTGTTCTTTAAGGAAACAAGACAACCATCTAACTCTTTGTCCTAACAATCAGCATCTCCCCCTTCTCCTAGGAGGGACCCCAATAACTGCCCCTCACAGCTGCCTAGCCACCTAGCTTGTAAAGCTGAACAGATGGCTTTGGAACATAAACACATTGTCATAGAGACAAGGAAAAGAGTTCACTGAAATTTATGGCACTTCGCTAAAGAAGCATGAAATATCTCAGAACACTCTTGTGCCTACACTCTTGTCTGCCGTGAACAGGAAATCAGAGCCAGGGTCAGGACCCAAGGCTCAGAGTTCTGATATACAACATGGTTTTGCCACATATGTCCCCTCTACAGCAGGAGATGACTGAATATATAAACGGACCATTTTCTAGGATATAGCACATTGTAATCATGTAAAGATCCTACAAGCTCAAGTTTAAAAGAATCAAAAAAATCTGGACAAAAAAAAAGCATTTGTAATACATAAGAACATTTTCCATTTTCTTTATCCTCTAGCAAGTGTTAGAAAATGCATTTCAAATTCTGGGGACAGAGTTTAAACAAAGGCACATGATTGACTGTTGCTGATAAAGACACTAATTATTTCCACCAAACAGTTGTCATCACCATCAAATCCTGTCTTTCAATCAGCTCCTCCTCACCAGAGCCCAGCACAGCATGCATTTCAAAGGTGATCCTACATTTCAAAGCCTCCAAGAGGTCATGAATCCTATCTCTTCCCTTCCTCTGCAGGAAAAGGGAGGGGGGATCCCTCTGGGAGTGTTTCTACTTCAAGCTGTTTTCAGCCTTACTTCAATGTCATTGAAACATCAAGACATTGAAACAAAAGTGTGAAAGTTCCCTTCCAAGACTTCTACAAGAGAGTTTATTTCACAAAGATATTCTGTGTGTGCATGAGAATTTATAGAGGTTAAAGATCAATGCAAGGTGTCTTCTTCGGTCACTTTCTACTTTATGTATTGACTGGCTAGACTGATTGCCTAGAGAGCCCAGAGGATCCTCCAGGCTCTGCTTCCTACCACTAAGATTACAGGTATACATCATCATACCTAGATTTTGACATGTGTGATCTGAGTTCGGATCCTCATGGTTCATGCTTATGCAGCAGAAACTTTACCCACTGAGAAATCTCCCCAGCCCTGTGGCCATTATTTTCTGGGTTCTTTTAGGTTATGGAACCTTTAGGATGTAGAACTCCTTGGAGAAAATGGGTCACTGGAGGAAACAGCTTTTGAGGGTTATGACTTAACCCTGCTTGTGGTCCAAGCTCTCTGTTTCCTGGTTAATTAAGATGTGAGGAGTCCTCGCCACAAGCTTCTGCCACCATGAATACCATTATGCTTTTCCTGCCATGGTGGGCTGTATAACCTCCTCCACCCTGAGCCATAATAAAACCTACCTCCCTTATATCACTTCTGCCAGCCATTGGCTCAGGTGAGCGAGGAAATGCAAGCAGCACCAGGAAAGGCTCGGCATGGCAGACATGATAAGACTTTCTAATTGTAGAGAATGAATAAAGGACAAAAGGGCAGAATTATGCCAAAGAGGTTGGCTCTATGACTTGAGAAGTTGCAGCTGTCACTTAACATAAACAAGCAAGTAAATGGGCAGTGTGCACATGTGTATGTATGTATGTATGTATGGTATATGTGCATGTGTGTATGCATGTCCTCATGTGTTTGGATGAATGTGTGCATGCAAGGACAAAGTTAACAACTATAGTCTTCCTCAATTACTCTTCACTTGAACCCAGGACTTACCAATATAGTCTAGCTAGTCAGCCTGTTACAAAGATTCCCTGTCTCTGCCTTCTCAGGCTGAAATCATGAATGGGCCACCATAACCACTGGGGATTAGTGTGGTTTCTGGGGAACCAAACTGTACTCATCATACTTTGCCTGGCAAGTGGTTCGTCCACAGAACTCTCTCCAGACCATCAAAAAATACTTTTAAACTTCTTCCTAAATGAGCAAGATGGCACCTGCCTATAAGCTCAGTGAACAGGAGGATGAGGCAGAAAGATTGCAAGCATTTTCAGCGCTATTCTTCAAAATCTAATAGAAGCAAAGGAATATTTGTGGACACTGTTTCTCAACAGAGACATCATCTTATTCAGCTCAACTTCAAATAGGAGTTGATTCTCTTTTTTAAATAGTTTGAGGAAAAACACAACAGTGATTTGAAAAGGCAAGAGGAGATTATACACAGCTAACAGCAGTGGGTTTTACAGTCTTGGGAGAGAAAAAGTAGTGACCCATGCTAACCCGGGCATCTCTACTGCAGATGGAAGCTGAGGAGTAAGCAGTTCGAATTTTCTGTGTCTACGTGGAGTCATCCAGGGCTATACGTAGACTTGGAAGAGGGCTTCGGAATACTGCGCCAGTGCACTCTGAATTTGAACGAGCGGATGTCACGGCCTCACAGTACTCTGCTCAATCAGAACCACTTTCCTTCCTTGAGGAGTCTCCTCTAACATCAAGGCCAAACAGAACTTCCTGTCAACTACCCTTTAGGCCCTGTCCCGTTTGCACATATTACTGACTCTGCTTAGAGTTATGTAGTAGCATTTTTGTGCCTGTTTAATATCAGGGTCCCCCACCAGAGGTTATGCCCCCTCTGCAGTAGATCCCTGTCTCTTTAGCTCACTATGGAATGCATTACAGATCCAAGTTCGTGGCTGGTGCAGATGCATGTTTGATGAGTTGTTGTGCACACATGAAATATAAGAGTCACCACTGAAGCAAACACTCTGGGTGATGTTAAATGTCACTGACCACACTACTTCTTACATTTGCCTCTTGTGTTGATCTCATCAAGCATCAATAGTAGTGTGTGCATCCGTAACTTTGAAAAGCACTGAAGGAAGAGTCTGGATCTCCCACCCAAAAAGAAGAAAAACCATTAAAGTAGTTACAGAAGTCTTCATGAATAAGCTAGACCCTGAAGAAAGCAAGCAACCGGCCTTTTGTCTACAATAAACAAAACTCGTTCATAATTGTTTCTTTGGAGCTGCATAAAAAATGGCTGAGGATAATCTTACAGGCGCTGCAATCCAAGCACTCGAAAGCTTGAGATAGGAGGACCACAAAATTGAGGCCTGTCTGAGTTTATGTACAGCAAGATTCTGTCTTGGAAAAGGAATGAATAAAAGGAAGTCCTCCATCTCCATCAAATCCTCTAGCAATCTCAAGCCAGGGTGTGTTTACAGTTCAAGTATAAAGAGTATGACTGATTTTATGTTCGTAATGTGGTATTGTGGTGAACACAGACAATGACTTGATAACAAGAGCTGTCCTCAGAAATGACGTTTACTTCCCCCAGGTATTCAGCTACTTAACTTCAAACTCCTCCCTAGCAACTTCAGCAGTCAGATCGTTGACAAGACAACTCATAGTATTTGCGCTGTCTCCTTGCCTTCCCAATGCACTGAGTCTTGTTATTAACAACAGCTTTATCAGCTACAGCCACCATGTAACATCCTAATGGAATTCACTGAACGTTCTACAAGCAATCCATTAGCTTTGATACAGAAAAGAAAAACCACACGAAAAGAAGTAGAATTTACAATAAAGGGATGATTATTACTACCAACAATATTTTTTACTAAAAAAAGAAATCTTACATCCCAAGTATTACATGCCATTTCTTTTTGATAAGCTGTAACTCAAATACATAAATATTTGAGTTACAGCTTATCAAATATATATATATATACTGTAAATATATAAATATATATCAGTATTAAAACACACATCATTTTATAGCAATCTCTTAACCACTCAAGTGTTACTGTAAGATTGATTTTCTCCCCCTAATGGAAGCCATACAGAAACTACACAGAGCTCTGGTATCTACTAAGACTGTGCATATCCATGACACACACACCAGTCATGCACCCCGTAGCAAATCTCCCAGGACCCATTGTTGTTATGGATCATTGTGTGGACAACAGTGAAGCAAGTCAAACTACAAATTAGTAGTTTTTAAGTAAAAAATTCTTATCTTTCCGAACTTCGAATTAAAATTCCAAGTACACCCGAGCTGTTTGTGCAAAGGTGAAATTATGTGCAAGACACTCTGGTGCACACCGGAGAGGTGAGTTAGTTCTAAATGGCTGCAGTTGGATACCTCCTTCGTCAGACGGCCTGGTTATTTCACTGCAGCAGGAAAAGCTAGGGTAGAGCTCGGAGATCTCCGACTTGTCATCTCCCAGACCTGTACCAAAAGTGCTGCTGGACTGGGAACGAGACAGGTGTCTCCGGTACTGACTCGCCTTTTCTACATCAGAGGGAGAATATTCGACACATGAGTGCGTGACTTAGACAACAAACAAAGCTTCACGGGGAAGCAAACCAGTTCCTGATTAAATGATAACCCCAAAGCTCTGCTATTCTAAGATTCTGGCGACCCACTCCAGACTTAGCATGGACCGCACCACATACATACGGGACCTAAAAGACATTTCTTCTCGTTTAGTCTGTAGGGTTTGTTTGTTTGTTTGTTTTTTAAGAGACATAAGGGATAGGAGAAAGGCAATCACTAAGAAAACACTAGAAAAGTAAAAAAAAATGTATTTGAAAGTGAACATCTGCTTTAAATATTTGCTTTCAAGTAGCCCTGAGTACACGGTATTTGTATCTTATTTCTTTTGAGACTGTGAAATTAAATGGTAATTTTCAAACCATATTTGCTTAACATGGCTTAAAAGTCTACATGTTTGGTCATGCTGTAACTATACCAAATCATTCATTTTTTCCCCTTTTAGTGATAGACTATCATCCAAGCTCACAATCAAATAAGCCTCCATGGGGGGAAAGGCATGTATAGAAATTCAGAGAGAAAAGCAAAACTCCTGAAAGTTTAATTGGAAAGCTTGCATGACGCTGTAGAGAAACCTTCCTATCGCTGTATGTATAAGTTTTCAATCTTGACTCTAAAATACTATAATACTGTACTTCATAAAACAAATCTCCCTTCTGTCTCAAAAGCTCTTTGCAATCCAAATAACCAGATCCCAGTCCCACAAAGCCTATAGAATCATATTTACCAATAAAAGGCAAATGTAAGTATGCTCTAGACACTGTTTTAAATGAATCTAGGACAAACTAATATAGGATTTATTTCCAAGTTCCTTTTATAAGTTTTGTTTTCATAAATAACTAATGTTATTCTAAAGTGACATAATACATTTCCTGCATTTTCTGAATTCTCAGCTTTCAATTTCCACGGCATGTTTGCCACAGTGAAAGTCTATAATGCATCATCATTAGCTTTCCAACAAAACCTAGGGAAACAGAGAGGAACTCAAACAATACCAGAGAGCATATGGAGACTTCTAGACTGAATATTGTCCTCCAGGGGGTCAATGTCGAAGATGGAACCAGGATCTGTGCGCCATACTTTGAGGTCTTTCACCAAAAGGAAGAAACCAAGAGATGAAGAGGGAGCTTTGAAAAGTCAGCAAGAGAAACAGTCAAGCAAAGGCAAATGTTAAAAGTGTCCCCGTGCACTTCAGAGCCAGAGAAATGGGGATTGGTCCTCACTTTCATCAAATGTGAGCAGCCAGGATTTTTCACTGCCCAGCATGAGAGTCTCCATGAAGCACCTATGGCTCAGCCCAAGGTACGTTCACACATGGCTGACACGTTCAGTTCTATAGCATCCCCAAACCCCAGCACTCCTGTGCTTCACCCAAGGACAGACAGCATCTGCTCAAGCTCCTGCCTGAGGACACCTGAGTAGTCATGGGAAATGACAGAAATGCTTTTGTTTAAAACTGTCCTCTCCCTGTAACAGGAAAGAATGCTGCAAATGTAGACAAGCGTCAGGTTCAGTTTTCATTCCAAGACTGGTGGGGTCTATGGGAACAAATAAAGCCATAGAGGACACATTTATCCCAATTCCATAGAAAGAATTCCAACAAGGAACCATGAGGGATGGGACATGAAGGAGTGTGCAAACGTGCTTTCTGCCCTCAGTGAATCATAGCTCAGTCACTTCTGTGTTTAGTTACCACACTGTCACCATAGTTTATATCTGAGGTGTCCCCACAAAGGTCCATGTATTGAAGACACCTTCACTAGCCTGCGACATTTTTCAAAGTTGTAGAAACTTCAAGAGGTGATTCCTGGTGACAGGAAGTTAGGTAACTGGGGAGTTCCTTTTAAGACAATCTTGGGACAAGCCCAACAAGCTTTCCATTGTTCTCAAGTGGCCATCTTTCTCTGTCGCACCCTCTGACTGCCCTGCACTGCCCTGCGACAAGACCCAAAGCCAGAGAGCCAAAAGACAATGGGCTCCAACCTTGTGCTGTCAGACAAATGAGCACAATCCTCTTTAAGTTGATTCCTCAAACTTTCTGTCACAATGACAGACATTTGACTAACAAACACAGCAGCCAATGTGCCCTTCTTTTATTGTAGCTATAGGCAAAACTCAAGTTTAATAATTTCTGAATGTATTTGTTGTTACAATGCTTGGACCTAAGAGGACTGTGCAGTGATACAAAACTGGGAAATAAATACCCAATTTTGGAAGAAATGAAGGGAGCTTAAGATAGCATAATTAGAGAACTAAAGGCAAAGACTTTCTTCTCAATGATATATTGTGGAGTATATGCTAAGCACTATTCTCTGTAATGACCTAACTCGTATCTACTACTATAGGCACTGCTGTTGTTATCATTGCATAGATAAGGAACCTAAGACTAAGAAGGATTCAGTAGCCCTGCCAAGTTCATCCTACTAGTAAACAACAGCAGCAGAGCTCCACAACAAAAACAGGAGCAGCGTCAACTGCCTTGGTCTGCACTCATCAGCAAATCTGTGAACTTATATTTTCATGCATGATGCAGACCCTGGCTCACTGGGACATTTAGTGTTAGTTAAATGTATTGTGTTTCATGATCATATAAGCAAGTCTTCATGGACACTGATTTTTCCCCACAAGAATAAAGAAACTGACTCCTAGATTGTCCATTAAATAAATAATTTTAGTTATAAATCTATATTTTAAAAAATAGTGATAAGTGCTATTGAAAATACTATAAATACTGAGAGCCCTGTCTAGACAGTTTCATCACTTTTAGCAATGATTTCACCATCATTCCTAGTCCCTCGTCTTTGTAGGACCCCAGGGTGAGATGAATCACACCACTCTGTCTTATGAGTTATTAGCACAAATCAATGAAACTCTACTTCTGCATCACTTTTACTGAAAACATCACAGTTCATCCATCCATCTTACTATGACCCAGTAAGTAATCAACCTGGAGAAATGAGTGAAGCTATCAATAGCCTACAAATGGGCCTGGGGTGTTTCTTTGGAAAATACTCTGCTTCCCGTTGGTAAGGATTCAAGTCACTCGGGAATCTGATGTTAGTCTCTCGCTTTAGACTAATGTTACGCTGTGAAATGTGTGCTTCCCCACCCAACCCACCTCTCCACACCCTTTCACCGCTCTGACTCTCCAGCAGAAGCCCTTCCCTTGGAGAGAAAGGTAATCTAACAGTGAGGTTACTGAGAGCTATATACCGTGGTCGCCAAAACCTCTCTGAGTGGGATGGCAACTTGTACCGTCAACTTGACAGAATCTAAAGCCTCCGTGGAGACACATCTCTGGATACACCTGGGAGGGATTATCTTGACTGAGGTGACTAAGGTGGGGAGACCCATCCTAAACGCAGGTGTGCCATTCTATGAGTTGCAGCCCTGGAGAGGATGAAAGGGAGAGAGTGAGCTGAGCACAAGTGTTCAGCCCTCGCTGCTTCCTAGGCACGGATGCAGTGGGACGGACTGCCTCCAGCTGCTCCTGGATCTATGCTGAGGCTTGATGCCTTTCCTTTCCAGCCTGATTCTACACCAGCTTGATTCCTGCTGATAGCTCAAGCCACATTCCCTAGGATGTCCCTGGACTGAATATAAGAAAAAGACAACGAAGAAAGGGCTCCTCTCTAAACACCCAGGCTTTTAGGTGGCCCCCAAATATCCTAGCTCAGAAACTCAGCTCAAAAATACAAGTGATTTGTGTGACAGAATACCATCAGATTCTGTTTAACGACAAAAGAGCCTAAATGGGAAATAACACTTCTGTCTCCCATGGGCACGATGTCTACGGTGTAACACTTTCACCCAGCAAGCACACAAGCTCCAGGAAGCAGAATGTTCAACCGTTATCATCACGGCTCTCAGGGATGCTGCTGCTTAACAAGGCAATATTACACAGACCACTCGGAAATAGAAAGTACCGGCAATACTGAAATCCCTGGAGCCCTTTCAGCATGATGCTGGGGCATTCTACCTGTAGTCTAGATGGAATTTACCCAAACCTGTGAGGTCAGATGGATGTGGAAGCTAGTTCTAGAGTGGGTACAGTCGTTTGCCCATGCATACCCGCGAGAAGACCACACGCTTACCCACAATGATCCCAGGTCTCCGATCCATCTCCACGACATGAGGCTGGACTCCTTTATAGGCAGCATCGCTCACAACCTGGGTGTTCTTCCTCGCCCGCTCCATCACTGGGTCATCCACGATGGGAGTGAAGCCTCTCCCCTTCGTCTTCTCAAAATCTTCATGATATTTGACCTGAACAAGGAAAAAAAGTATTATTAATTCAAACTGAAATTCCTCATTGTCTCACAAAATTTTTATAAAATGATAGACCTCATAACCAGTGCATCTGGGTTATTACACACAATAAATATTATAGGGTATAATATGCTTTGCACAAATACCCCAAAACAATGCCAGAAACCAAGCACCGGTAATTTTACATTTTTAAACACTATAAATAGCATCTCCTTTAAATGATATGAAAACTTATATATCAGTAAGCTATAAAAGACAATTACTTAAAAACACCAGTTATTGCATAAAACACACAGTTTGACTACGAATTGCTTTCCTATCTTTCACCTGTAATATGCAATAGTGATTAGTCATTGGAGCATAATTCTTCAAGACGACAGTGCTATTAAAATTAGAGTAAGAGAGTTATATATATATATTGTGTAAAATTTCACATATACTTATAAAAATGTGTATATTATAAAACATACATTCTTTTCATGTTCTGAAATTCAAAGAGGGCAATAATTGTTAACACTAGGTTAAGCTAAACACTTTAAGTGGGTAAACTTTATGGTAAAAAATTGATACAAAACTGCTTTTGAAACGCACTCAAAAGTATTCTTTATAATATGCAAACATGCCAAAATAAGTCTTAAAGTTAAGTAAGAAACAAAGTCTAGATAAATGTCATTTATACATGTATTTATAATTATCAAGTTAGAAATAAAAACACGCCAAAAATCATCGAGGGGAAATTATTTTATTAGAGTAAATATTTTCATTACATTTCAGTGTAGTTATAACACCCTGCCCCAAGAGCTCATTCCCATGCCCATGTGTTGTTAGTTGTCCAGATTAATAGTGAACTATGCCATCCAAACACGGGTCTTGCCATTCCTTAGTATGTTTTAGTTATGGAGACAATGATCTGTTGCATCCTACCATAGAAGCATGGTTTTGTGCTTCTTTAACATGTCTCAAAGCAGGTGTATCTAAGATCAGACATGGTCTGCCTTTCATTTGCTTGTGGTCCTGCGTGTATTTCACCTGCAAAGGAAACCGCAGACATTCATATAACTGGATAACTATAATCTAAAAGCTGCGTAACATTTTAAAGCTTTTCAAATGGGTGAGTCGTGTGCAACCTACTCAAAATCATTTCCCAGGAAGTTTTTCTTTTGATAGATTCCATTTTGTTCCAGAATAGTCATCTAAAATTACACTCTTGATGATTTCCTCTTAAAATATTGTATAAAGGACTTAAGTCTGTCAACAGCAAACAAACATGTGTGCCCAACAGTCAGGAAATAACCACAGTGAACCTGCTCAGCACGTGTAAACGGGGCAGATAAACCGTGGAACTGAGCCCAGTTGTATTTTCCGTTGCTAAGCAATGTTCTACTCTAAAAGAGGGAAGCACATGAGATGTCTTCCGATTTCTTGTCCTTTTTCCCTCTCTAGGGAATGAGAAACACAAGGAACAGTTCTATGTTTTCTTCTGTGCAGTTAGAGCTTAAAGACAATTGATGTTGAATACACCCAGTCTCTCTGGGCAGGAATGCTAGGAGAGAGCTGTCAACTATGAATCCCATATGCTGAGCCCCAGGCACGGAAATCTGGCAGGTCTGCTAGGCTCAGGGTTCAGAACTGTGGGCATTTCCGGGATTCCTGCCGTGGAGCCCTGGAGCCCTGCAATTCACTAAGGCGATGCATACTCACCGTGAACAGTTTTCCTGATTTAGTTTTAGTGATATTGACTGCACTAAACCTTTTATCTTCTGAATTCTTATTTTGAATTACTCATTTTTACATGTTTTTGTAGAAAGCATTTAATAACTCATGTTCAGTGAAGTATATTAGTAAAATGACAATTTTTTCATTTATATATTAAAGACTTGGTCAGTTGCGAAGCTATTGAATAAAATAACATGATTGGTAGCTTAAATAAATTATAGATGCAGCTATCAGTCATATCTATGAATATTAATGAGGGATTGCATGATAATGTCAATGTATATAGTGAGAGCTTTTGAGATTCATCTGCGAATCCCAAAATGTGTTTATTGGAAATAGATTTTATTCATAAGACAATAAGCAACACAAGTAAATTGTAAAGGATACATCCTTTGCAAAGTCCACAATGAATTAAAACCACTTGCCGAACTAATATTTTCTTGATTCTTCTTCACTCTTTCCATTTCAGGAGTTATGCTTAAAGCCGTGGCCCTTCCCAGTTGACCTTTATAATAAACCTACCATTTCAGAGAAGGAAAACAGAAGATTGTGAATCAGTTCAACAAAAAAGGGAATCATGTCATATTTAATTTTAAAGGACTAGCCAAGGACTGGAACTCATTAAGACAAAGGAGAAACGGAGGAGAGGGAGGGGGAGGGGACTTGAAATGCTTTCATCTTCAAGCATCTATTTCATTTGGGCATAGCAGCGGACCTCTGCCCAATCAGTGTGGCTAGGCTCACATATATCACTAGTGAGCCTTGAGTGAGCTTTTAATCCCAGATGGGTATGAGAAGAAACGCTTTGTGAATGTGACGAGTCTTGTTTGAATAGAACGAAATCACATAGCTGTGTTTTCTCAGAAATTAACTGCAGCAGAGTCTTGAAAGGATGCATTTCACAGGTGACCATGGCAAGTCATATAAAGACATCATGCTTGCCTCTATTTCATTCCTCCTTTTCACTAACCACCTCCCTTCTTCAGAATAATAGTCATATCAAGTATGACTGGGAAGAAATGAACATTTACTCTTCCAAAAGATAGCTCTTAGGAAAAGAATCAGATGATAACCTGCCTTTGACTCATAAACTGGTCAAATGGCTTGACGAGTTTGAGGCATAAAAGACTTCTTTGAAGACTAATAGATTTCTAAATTTCCTCTTCCAAGGATCCCACTTTGTACGTTAATGAGATCCTAAAAGGATGCTCTCAGTGAACTGTGGGTGGGTTATATAAACAGAGTGATCTAGTGTAGTACACGAGTTTAAGTGAAAATGCTGCTTTGGGCCAAGTACCTATCCACTGGTCCATTTCACAGGCTATAGCCAGTCAACCACACATACTTCACCATTTTCCCCCAGAAACATAGCGATAATCATCATGGGTGAGAGAAAGGGCCAGGAGGGACCTGACAAACAAGAACTCAGGCAGGGAGGAACTCTGCAGTCAGAGCACGCTAGACTACAGGACCAAGATGCCAGAAACTACCCCAGTCTTTGTAGCAACCACAGCATCCACCAGCATGAAGTAAGAGGAGAAGGATATGCCCCAAACTACAGGACAGTCATCCTAATACAGCACTGCACACGACAGCCCCTACCACCTGACACTGTCCCCTGAAGAAGCTGCTGTCAGCTGAGACTAGCAACTCTCTAATACAGTGGTCCTCAGCCTTCCTAAAGCAGCAACCCTTGGATACAGCTTCTCATGCTATGGAAACCCCAAAACCTAAAATTATTTCCTTGCTACTTCATAACTATAATTTTGCTATTGTTATGAACCATAATGTAAACCCCTGTGGGGGTCACGACCCACAGGTTGAGAACCTGTGCTCTAATACAATTCCCTCATCTGCATATTGACACACTTGATATCATTAAATACAGATGATAAATACTGAGATGTTCCCACATTGCTGATATTCTTCTGGTTTTCCTTCACTCTCTTCAGCTCTGGTAGATCCGAAATGGAAGTTGGCTGCTTTAGCTCTCCTTTGTATTTGACCTGTGGATGATATAGGAGAATTTTAGTAAATAGTACAAAGAGCTCTAAGTGACGACCACAAGGGTTGCGACTCAAATCCACTCTTGCTGTTAACATAGTGACCTCCTATTGACTGGACTCAACTGATCAAGAGGAGCTGATTATGCTGCTTAAAAGGGGATCTTCAGTAAGCAGCCTGTTTCCTGCCACAGCTAGCTACAAACTTTACAGAGAAAAGCAATGGAGATAAGGGAACACGCTTAAAAAGAAACATCAGAAAGGTGCCACGACAATAAACCAGAATGAAGGCCCCCACGGCAGGCTGGGTAAGTGCTTTGGTCTGCTTCTGGCCTCCTAGTTCCCACCATTAAAACGTCCCTGACTTCTTACTCTACCTTCAGAGGTTTAAAGATGCACAATGTTCACTTACATTTAAAAGTCTTTCAAAATGCCAGTTTTGAAAAAAAAAAAAAAGGCTATTCTCACTATTGAGGAAAGTTCCCAAAAAAAGGTTGACAAGGGGTAAAAGGTAACTACTTGGGGTTACCCTACAGAGATTTCTAAATTCCAGGAGGCCTAAGTTCAAGTCCCAGCTCTGCCCTTACTTGCCACGGATCCTTGGCAGGGTCTCTGACTCCACAAAATTCAGTTTTCCACATCCACCCATCACTCAGATAATCACATATAATATTAAAAGAGGGGCTAGCACAGAGCAGAGGTCCCCCTCGGTTAACTAGGACAACTTTATTGCAAGGGATTATTAAATGGCTGGCTGATGTCTCCCATTTCATTTATGAGGTGACTTGCCTTGGCACTGCATGGTAGAGGGCCCATCAAGCCATGTCTTCTCTTCTCCTATCTCTAATGTTGTTTCCCCCTCCAATATATACACCTCTTTATTTCCCAGCTTCTTACATAGATGCAATTTTAGAGATTTGGGAGTAAACTAAAGGGTTCAAGAGGAAAAGATGTGACTCTTATGGCTCCTCATGTCCCAGCAACCAGGACAAAGCCCTCTTGAGTAAGAAAGCATGATGCAGACTTCCTGACTCAAACAAGAGTCATACTCTATGCCCTCCAATGTGTGACTGTGTGAAAGCATGCCCAAATGCACAGGGGTCCACTGATTCAAGGAGTGTCTTTTTGAAAAAGAAAAATACATCCTGTTAGATAAAATACAAAAGAAAACAGAATGACTTGCCGCACTCAGCTGCTCCTGGTTCCTCCGCACTCTCTCTATTTCTGGGGTCATGGTTACTGGAGTGGCCTTATAGTTTTGATCTTTATACTGGAGCTGAGAAACAAAGCATAAGATAGTTTGGAATCAGGGAAAATAAATGTGTACCACAGGAACATACTAAAGGAAATGTCACATGCTACAGATCATTAATATCTTACATTTTCTCCATGAACTAATAGTCACTTTTAAATTACTTAAAAATTTCATATAGTGTATTTTGATCATATTCTTCCCCTCCTCTAATGCCTCTCAAATATTCCCGCCTTCTTATCTACAAACGTTTTGTCATTTTTTCCTCTCAAAAAAGAAACAGGCAAAAACCAAAAAGCAATAAAACCAAAAATACAAAAACAAAATAAAACAATGCACACAATAAAACCAAACAACAACAAACATTTCCATGTTACTGTCATGTTGACCAGTTACTAGGTCTTGGAGTCTGACCTAGAATGTGCTTGATACTCAATTAGACAAAAATGATTTTCATATTCTTAGAAAGTATCAATTGGAAATAGCTTCTTGGGTAAAGGTAAGGCTATGTGTCCACTTTTTCCAGATGTCATCTTGAGACCCTAGTCCCCAAGTTTTTCTTTCTCAAATATTCTAAACTATTCCTTTCATTGCTAATCTTTACATTATATAATTTATTGATTACTTCCTGATTTCGATTTCATCAATAATTAGGAATTATACCTTCTGTGAGTTCACCACTTCTTGTCATTAAAGCAATGTTTGCTAAATTGCCATCTTATTCTTAAAATGATTTATTATCATCGTCATTTAGAAAGGAGTCATGTTGAATGTAAAACAGACTCTTGTTATCACTCAACGCATTGAGAACAAAGGTCACAAAGACCCCACGTCCGTACTGCAGTGGCATACTACATCTACTAGCTTTCCTCCCAGGAACCTCAGTTTCTCCCCTTACCAAGTTGTAATGTCGGAAGACCTGACATTTGGCCTAACACTACAGAAGATGGCCTACTGCATGCAGATCTTCTTTCTTAACCGAAGGTAGAAGACAGAGACGACTTCACCGTCACAGTCAACTACCCCAACAATTCCACATCTCAAAAAACAAAAGAGCACCAAACACAGAGCAAAGAGACGGTGTATCAGCTGAAAGTTTCTGACTGCTGAGGTCAAAGCAGAAGAGAAAATTCTTTTGCAAGGAGCTGTGCAGTGACAGTCAATGCATTTTCTGAATTTAAATTCAGCCTTAGGGCTTTATACAGACCTTGCACTCAAAATGCATACTCTTATGAATGAACATAAAAATGAAGAAAAATTTGAGAAGTCTGGAGAATAAATGGAAAGGGTTGAATTTCTTCCAACGTACCCAGCACCCAACATTTGGTTTTAGAACCTCTCCTCTCCCCCCCCCCCAAAAAAAGGGGGAAGTGATGTGGAAGAATTGTCTGTATTCTGTCAATCATGTTTTAAATAAATGCTGATTGGCCAGGCAGGAAGTATAGGTGGGTCAACCAGACAGGAAGTAGAGGTGGGGCGATGAGAAGAGGAGTATTCTGGGAAGAAGGAAGCCCATTCCTACCAGTCCTGCACAGACTACTAAAGAAGCAGGATGTGACCTGCACCACCAAAAAAGGTACTGAGCCATGTGGCTAATATAGATAAGAATAATGGGTTAATATAAGTTATAAGAGCTAATACAAAGCCAGAGCTAATGGGCCAATAAGTTTCTAATATTATGGAGACCTCTGTGTGATTTTCTTTGGGGCTTGCTGGTTATGGGGTACCAGGCAGGACAGATACCCCAACAAGCCGGCCCTCATGTTACATGTACCCTCTCCCTAAGGAGCAACATTCTGCGCACAGTTGTATGTAAGAGTTTAGGCAAGTTCTTAGTATGGAAATGATAAAGATACAATGAGAAATGTTTCATGCAATCTTTATTGGTAGAAATATCATTTATGTTAGAGCTGAACTAAAGATTTGTGGAGCCACATTGCTGAGAGGGAGGAACTACAACTGCTAGTGAATGAAACCCAGACATCAATTCAAGGGGAGACTCTTGTCCTGATTCTCCTATTCATCAATTTGACACGTGACTTAAAGGCAATATCTCTTTAATACTCTAATCTCTGCTTTATAGAAAAGGAAATATCATAGGTGACAGTCAATGAAGAGTGTATAATAAGTGAAGTCTAGAGAACTGGATTCAAACCTATGGTCCATGTTCCTCTCCATGACTTCAGCATTAACAAAACATCCTGAATTCTGCTGGTGGCCTGTTTGACACACCATGCAAATTCTATAAGATCTATGCTATTTATTACATACTTAGTTTTCAAATGAAGTTAAGAGAGTATTGGTGTGGAATATTAGTTGAAGAGGTGCTACATTTGTTTATGCTGTAGAACATTTGTTTAATGATGCAAAGATGTATTGCATTCTTTTATGTTGCATTTGTTTAACTCTGTGAAGCTGTGTTATTTTACCTGTCTAAAATAACTGATTGGTCGATTGGTATAACAAAGAGCAGAACAGCCAACAGTGAGGCAGGAGAAAGGATAGGTGGGACTGGCAGGTAGAGAGAATAAATAGGAGAGAAAGAAAAAGGGTCAAGAATTGTGAAGAAGAGAAGGAGGAGGACACCATGGGTCAGTTACCCAGCTACATAGCAAATCAAAGAGTAAAAAGTAAAGAAAGGTTTATAGAATAGAGGAAGATAAAAGTCCAGAAGCAAAAGGTAAATGAGACAATTTAAGTTAAGAAAAGCTGGCTAGAAACAAGCCAAGCTAAGGCTAGGCATTCGTAAGAAAGAAAAAGACTCCTTGTACTTATTTGGGAGCTGGGTGTTGGGCCCCCAAAGTGCCAAAAGGGTAAAAACAACCAACTGCAGAGTATTGTTTCTATCATAAAGAGACCAACAATACTTTTTTGGAAGAAGAACCAAGGGGAAGACGTAGCTGAGTAAAACAACTTAATCACCAGATCAAAAACTGAGCAATACTGGGGCTGTTAATATATTCTTGAATGATCTATGAGTCACACTATAGGAATTCTCCACACTACAGCCTTATGCTTGGTTTTGCATCTCCTGTCCCACCATCACTTCCTGCCACCCTCCATCCCAAAGCTCATCACATCAGTCCTCTTCCCTTCTAATAGGTTTGGGTTCTGAAAATACTAGTTTTCCCTTACAGGAAGATCCTTCCTCACAAAGCCACATGAAATCATTCTTCTAAGTCTCTACAAGACTCCAGTGTTGTTCCTTCTCCAAGACTATTCCTCTCCCACTGGGACACACTATTCATCCTCTGTATTTCCAGAACACTTTGCAAGAAGTATTATTGCTTATGGTTAAAAAAGATATTTGTCAGATATTTAAAAAATTAGTGACTAATCAACAAATATAAATCATTGTGACAATATGTAAGACAATGCATAGCAGTAATGTATGCCCTGTTTCTCCTAGAGACTACCTTATTGTAGTGATAGTTCATTTGTATTTTAATAAATATAGCTTGCCTAAAGATCAGAGAGTAAAACAATCATTCTGGTCAGTCTTGTAGACCAGGCAGTGGTGACACACACTTTTAATCCCAGTAGCCACACTAGTTTGCCATAGAAATCAGGCGGTGATGGTTCATGTCTTTAATCCCAGCACTAGAGAGAATTATAAAATGGGAAGAGACAGCTCACACACACAATCTCATTATGAGATTCTTGGAGGCAGGATCGCCATTTCAGACTAAGATTGAGGTAAGAACCAGCAGCTGTCTGTTCTGCTTTTATGACCTTCAGGTTGAACCCCAATATCTGTCTCTGGGCTTTTATTAATTGTGCTATACCTTGTAGTCTGTCTCACTCACTGAATCCCCCTGAGAGCACAGAGTGGACCTTCATTTTAAAAATATGTCTAGGAGGCACATTGTGGAGAGCACAAAGCAGCATGGAATGCTATCCACGTCCAAGGAAGGCTCGCACAGTGGCACTCATTGTAATGAGACTTCACCTGTGCTGATGCTGTGCTCCCACCGTGTGTGGTATTTTAATACCACAGAAAAGCACTGGAGGAAATACGACCACATTTGTTGATGTTCTTCTGGTTTTCTCTTGCTCTCTTTAGCTCGGAAGGATCTGAAATGGCTGCTGCATACTTAGTTCCTTCTTTGTATTTCACCTGAATAATTTATTTTAAAATGTAGTTAATTTATTCTATCCAAAGCTTAAAATAGTTTAGAATTCTCTTATTGTTGCCACTGTATAACTGAATTTTTCTTCCAATATTATATTCCCTTTAATAGGAAACAATTTCTTATATTTTCTCATGCTTTCTGGGTTCTTTATCCTGAAGTACAAATAAATTCACATTTATCCATCACTATAGGCATCCTTCAGTTAATATAAACAAACATTGCTTATAACCAAAAAGCTTTATAACTAAGCATAGGTAAAAAATGCTTTAGAAATTATTGTAATATAATGATTTATTATTTTCTGCCTGAGAAGCAGTTTTATTTATTAATGTGTTAATTAGAATTTAACATGCACTTAAAGGCAAAAAATCAAATTGACTTAGCCTCAGAGTCTTGCAAATATTGACATCTGACTGAAAGCACAGATGTAATCAAATTGAACAAGAAAAGAAGGAAATGTGGCTAGAACAAAAGAGAAAGGAAAGAAGTTCATGTGTCTTCACACCTTCTGCCATTGTCCTGGGAATCTGGGAAACCTTTCCACATGGGGAGTAACTGGTCCACCAGGGATTGCAGACTAGAATTATAGGCACCCTGGTTCTAGTTACCTGTTTTGGCACTGAGGTATAACCAGGCACCACACTCCCCAGCCATGCAGCAGCCATGATGGACTGCAGTCCCTCAAACCATGAGCCAAAAAGATCTTTGCTCTTTTAAGTGTCTTCTTGTCAGGTATTGGGTCATGCCACAGAAAGAAGTCACTAACACACCCTGTATCCTGACACTCATTCCATCCATGAATTGCCCCTTCAGCTAGATCTATTTAGAGGAAAATCAACTGGAAAGTGATAATACATAGGGCAAGAAAACAAACAGGCAAGGTCTTCCCTTTCAGAAGAAACTCACAGAAGACAGGACCTGGACAGAGAGAACCTACCTACGTAAGAACAAAGAGTGCACACTGAAAATTAGCTGAGATTTAAATCTCCACCAAATACATTTTAGAAATCACTCGGTGATGCTTAAAGCTGAATTCTCAGATACCGTCCATCTTAGAGTCTGTGGATTTAACATGAGTCAAGAGGTCAGTCTTAACCCAGACCCAAAATAGTTAAATGGAAAGTTCACTCAGACAGATTTCCTCTAAATGAAATTCAAAATCAGATCTTAGCACAGAGAGCTAATAGCAAAAAGGGCTTGTCTTCAGAGGTGGAAAATGTCGGGATGTTTAAATGTTAGAGAATCACCTCCTGGTTTGACAGACCAGGCTAATCTTGAAAGGCCAAGTTTCCATTTGAATATTAAGTAGAGGGTTATGGTTATGGCCCAACCTCAGAGACCTATGCATTTATTGTTTGCTAGAAAAGACTCGGGGAGAAAAGATGACATATTTCACTGTGATTTTTCTCAGGAGGAAAAGTCCAACATAACTAAAAGTGAACATTTTTGTTTTTCAAGACTCTTCATAAAAATACACAGTCATTTCCTGTAGAGGAACAACTAGACATCGTACATACTGTAGAACATTCGTAGCTGTGACAGTGATGGGTGCATTTCTAACACTGTCATTGCAGAGTGAAGGAATGTAACACTTTACACATCTTTCCCAAACTAACTTTTCTGCCAGAATCAAGTGGTGCCTGATTCAGATTCCCATTAAACAAACAAAATGTCATTCACTCTAACTCAGACCTCGGCCTCCAAATCCTCTCTCTAGATACTATCCTCAGGACAGGACTTCCTTTATGGCACAAAGATTGACAGCAATCATGCTCTGCACAGTTTTTATAATTTTCCTTGCCCCTCCTGGAATTCCTTTTCCAACAGAAATCACCACCTGGTCCCATGCTCGGAACACTAGCTAATTCTGAGTGAGCCCCAATACATGTCATGAAAGCAGTTTTATTTGGACTATTTAAAGGAAAGTTTTAAAATGTTGTATCTCCTAGACTAGAGGTGAAGAGATGGAGCAGGGAATCAATGCTAAGGAAAGAATCATTTTTCACACCCATGGCAAGAAACTAAACATACGAAATGCACTCAAGTGCAACCCCCTCCTGGAAGAACAAGAACTGTCTCTTGCTCATGCCCAGCAGTAAATGGGAGAAATCGTCCCTACAACACTAAACACCTCGCCTGCCATTCCTCAGAGTCAAAAACACTGTCAGGTAAGATCTTACAATTTATACTCAACCAATATAATTTTCTTTGCTGAGAAAGTAGAGGGGAAAGAAGGCCAGAAAACAGAAACATGGGCACAGAGCTGTGTCTGGGGAAGGCTCGGAAGTGTGATTGACACAGGACAAAAACGAGTTGGTGCTACATTAGAAAAATAAGTCTACACCACTTCAGCTATCATATAAACATACTGAGCCCTTTGATCGTTTCGTTGGGGGTACAATTCCTTTGCTCCAAGAGATGGGAAAATATTCAAGGTGTCCTTTCTGTGCACAATTTAACACAGCTAAAATTCTGTTCCAAAAGATGAAACGTAATCCTAGATTTTATTAAAATGGCCCATGTCTTCTTTCCGCTGCTCTAAGTGAAATGAAACGGAGCTTCAGGTTGAAGGGGAACAAAGCTGTCCTTTTATTTTGGAAGTTAGACCTTTGATGGTTGATGACATCATCTCTCAGGACCGTGAAGAATAAAAGATGAAAAGCAACCTGCCGAGACAAGAACTGAAAACAGGCATGTAGCCCCTGTTTGTGGGAGAGGATAATTGGTGCCGTGGAGAACTTACTGAGCTGATATTGTGCTGGGTTTTCTTCACCCGCTCAATCTCTGGAGTGTTCCTTAGGGCTGTGCCAGCTCCCACTCCATCCTTGTAAGATATCTTCATAGCGGGACAAAGAAAACAAGAACTGTAAGGTTATAAGAATTCGAGTCCTAGATCTGCCTGTTACAGAGCAAGATTATTTCTCAGGCTTTGCAGTAGTGTGAATACTGGCTTCATTTAGGAGAAGCAAAGTTACATGAATCGAGGAAATAACCCATTATTATAATAAATGCTGACTTGCTGACTTTGATTTCCGATATCACAACCTCTTAGCTCAGTTAATACTTGTTCTAAGGCATGACGAGTACCTTAGCTGGGGGTAGATTATTTGCCCTAAGAATATAAATTGGCAATCTACAGTCTCCTGCTTTAAATATAAGTAAATAGCAGGACAGTCAAGCTTACACAGAGAAACCCTGTCTTGTAAAACTAAAATATATATAGATATAGATACTATAAATACATGGCATTTGTGTATTTGAGAAAAATCTAATTACATGTTAGAGAAATTCACTGAGCTGTTAGCATTTAGCCCCAAACAAGGGAGGTGTCACACCACTGTTAATCTGCCAAATACAAAAGTCCCTCACTTGTCTCCCAGTGTCGGCCTTGACTCTTGTATTTTCCTCATCCCCCCCCCCCTTTGTTGAGTTGTTCAAATCACTCCGGAGACTCTTGACATCTGCCCCTTCTAAGCACAAAGCAAAACAAAATTAAAGTTCTCCAAGGAAAAACGGTGGCCCTAGTAAGTCCCATGAGGTCATAATGGTCCCACCAGCGACACTGGCTAATCCATGGACAGACACCACAGGGGCTGGAAGAGTAATGTAAGACCTGAACTGAAAGAGATGAAAATTAGGAACATCACAGATCCCAGGGACTGGGAGCAGCCCTGTCTCTGACTTGCCAGTGAGAACTGCCCATCTCTTCGCACAGGCACAGCCTGGCCCTTCTTAGGGAGATCCCAGACTCACCAAACAGTCTACCTCTCTGGAGAGTGAGAGTCGGCCAATTACTGAGAAAGTGGAGAGTATTCCAGAAGTTCTCATGCTTAAAGACACTTGCACTTGCTTGTACTTGAGTACTAAATGACTGGGCCAATTCTACACTATTGTATTTGACCGTATGGTCCATTTGAAAATTCCATCAAAAAATCCAGGTTTATACATTTATCAACAAGTAGAGGCCTACTTTCTTAACAGGACCCAGGCAAGGACTCCTGTTACTCACAATAAAAGCAGGGAAGTTCATGGGTCGGTTTTAAACTAGTGAGTCTCTAGGTATGCTGTCCTTGCAAATTCAGCGACAACCTGGAGGAAGGTCCCTTCATGTGTTTGCATTCATCTTCACAGTAAAATTAGTGTGGATGCTAAGACTTTTCCTCAGCTAAAATTCAGTCAACACCTTCTATTTGTGTCTAATACAAAATTTGGATTTGGAACTCTAAACAATTCTAACAATTGGAATTTATGAGAATAATTTATTTTTATTTTGAAGAAATAAATTCATGTGGCGAAGAACGTAAGCAATTTAGGAAAAAAATCAGATAACGAGGGAAAAGACATCCAAAAAAATAGTAATAATAGTTTAGAAGTGGAGGGGCTGTTGCTGGGCTATAGTTCAATAGCAGAACTTTTACCTAACATGAACAAGGACCTACATAAAATCCCCAGAGCTGCAATAATAGAGAGAGAGAGACAGAGAGAGAGAGAGACAGAGAGAGAGAGAGGCAATTTCAACTGTAAAAAAAAAAATACAGAGTGGACATCTCTAACGAAAATTCCTAAAATTTAAACTTTGTGACAGCTAGCAAGTGGCAAGCTCCCCACCTGACCCCTGTGAAGTTTTGGCCATAGCCCAGGTACAGCAGTAATAACACATGGAATTGTCTCAGGCTGTGACTACAAAGGCTCCATGAAGCACAGGTGACTTTTATGTTTAGACCTACATCTCATCCTCACTTTAACTTCTTATACAATGCAAATATTCCAAAATCCGAACCAAAGTTGGACTTTGTCTAGCCCTAAGACCTTCATACAGCAGCTACTCACATTGCTAATGTTTTGTTGTGTCGTCTTGATTCTCTGGATTTCAGGAGTGTCTACCACAGTGGAATACTTGGAAAGCATTTTCTCAGCTTCGTCTTTATACTTTTTCTAAAAATATAAAATTATTAAAAATTGAAATCTCTGTGTGGAGGGAGGAGGAGATATGGGGCCGCCTCCAACTCTAGCACACTACATGGCTGTGACTCACAACTTGAGAGTCAAAGCGGATGTTGACAGGATCACTAACATCCAGGGTGTGAGCACATAGTCTGTCAGCAGCCCCACTTCTGTGCAGGCTGCAATACTCACCCCACACCATTCAGAGACCCCAGAGAGACGAACTTCTATGTCTTTTCTAAACTTGGGACCTTCTTCTGCAATGACCCAACTTTCTATGTCTACCTTGTTACAAGCTTCCGGACTGACGCTTTTTTTTATTGTTTTTGGTAAAGATCTGTGGCTAAGGAAAACATGCTACGATTTTCATAGTTCAGGTTTTTAAACATCTGAAGTTTCTCTCCATTAAATGAGCTACAGTGAGCTCCTTTAATATAACCTGGATTCGTCCTTCATACTAGGACACATAATGTTATGATGTAATTGACATTATTTCAATACCCAACACACACTCACTTATTCGATCAATCTCACAAACTGATATCACTATCAGATGCGGAAGTATAGGCACCAGCTAGGAAGCATGGGAAGTGAGACTCAAGCACTCCAGTTAGTGAAGGGAACCATACGGCACAGAAGCACTTGCCAAACAAAGCAAGTGTTGGAATGCAGCTGTCATCACACTCTTCCTCGCTGACTCGTGTGTCCATTTGCCTGCTTCATGTACTTGCCTGAGATTTACACTCAATTCATATAGATACAGCCTGCGTCTCCAAGTTCATTGCCTTTGTGTAACATGAGGAACGAAGGACCAAACACAGTGGCTTTAGTACTAGTTCCATGCTGCACAGTCCTAGGTAGGTGACTGAGGAGCAGACAGGTACCTCCCACGTTTCCACTCCACCATCTTGGCCCTCCCACCTTGGCTCAACCAATATTGACACTTTTTGCTTTGCTTTAACCAGAATTTGAACAAATGTGTCCAATTTGGGTCAAAACTATTTCCAGCATACATTTCATTAGTCAAATTTAACTCCTTACTTCTAGAACAATTTCATGTTTTTCATTCTCCTCTATTACTTTTTCCACTGGGATGTATTTTCAAGGTAAATTTTATAGCAAAGACATGATGATTAAATAATGTGTATTTTCATCCAAGTCAGATTTTAGAAGCATCTGTTCTTTGCTCTTCTATAAATATTTTCTCTTGAGATACTATCTTTCTCACATTCAGATTTTTTAAAAAAGCAGTTTTTGTCTTTTCTTTCCTGTTGTCACCCACTAGGCTCCTCTTCCCCCTTTTTATCAGTTCCTTCCTCTCCACACAGACTCCTGCCAATCCCCACATGTGTGCATGTGTGTGTTTGTATGTGTGTGTGTGTGTGTGCATGTGTAATTAAATTCAGGTTTTTCATATGAAAGAAAACACATAATATTCAATCTTCTGAGAATATTACTGACCTTATTCACACCTAGCCTTTTGAGCTTTTTGAGAATATGTGACAGGTATATTTGGCAAATAAATTTTACTAAGAAAACTTAGTCTTCTCCTAAATTTTAGCTAACATTATCAGTTGACAATATATAATTTCCACTACTTCATTTAATTGAAGGCTATTTAAAATATTCTTCATTGTGAAATAGAAATAAAATATTTTTAGAATGATGTTTCTGTTGTATGAACAAAGAATATTCAAGGCAAGTATGTAATGGAGTTAAAAATAAAAATAATGTCAAATGTTCTTGGCCTCAAAAAAGGGGCTTACTGGGACTTTGGCACCTTATAATGGCAACTAATTTTGATCTGTACCACTGTTCTTCTAGTATCTATGGTTGTCAAGTTTGGTAGGGAAGGTCTCAAAAGAAAGCATTCTAACTTTGAAGGCAATGTCTCCAGAAAGATGTCAATCAAAAAGACTCAGGAAGCACACAGCGACAGGATTAGCATACATTACTGCAAGCATCTTCATCCTCTACCAACCTGGCTATAGATGTCAGACGCCCTCTTGGCTCGAAGCATATCTGGGATGTCCATATTCACCTGCATCCCTTTCCCCTTGATTTCATTCTCTAAGTCTTTCCTATATTGCTTCTACAAGAACAGAAAATAATCTCGGTTATTTGCTTAACTTTCCAGGGTCATAGTACTATTTGTGTGTTTTAACAGAAAAGTGACATTTCCACTCCTCCAGGACCTTCACGTGAGACTCTGTGCTCACACCTTCCTTACCTGGCTGGCCATCTCAGATGCCCTCTTAGCTCTCCGAACATCCAGAGTGTCTGCAGTGACCTGCATTCCTTTCCCTTTAATTTCTGTCTCCAGATCTCTTTTATAGTCTTTCTGTAGAGAATAAAACACACAGTACTCAGTAATCATTTCAAAATGGTGCTGTAAAAAAACCATAATGTCACTTTGACATCGGGACTATATGTTTTGGAATTAGGTTAGACCTTATTTCTTCATTTCTATATAACAAGTATAATAGAAGTATGATGTGCAATAACATATTCATACATAATCAGGAGGCTTTGTCTACTAAACTTCAATAAGAGAAAGTACAGAACTAGACTGGGGAAACTTTTATATTCCAATGATAAACTTGAAAATTTATTGGTAACTACAGAATTCTATTGTTGACTATCAAAGTCAATATAAGATTGCTATTATTCTAGATTATTGCAACATACTATACTTCCATTCTAAATCACTGGGTTTATGTAACACTGGCCCAAGTCTCAGGACCCTATGGGACTTAATTAAATCATTCTACTCCATCCTTGGTTCTACCTAGCTAGTTTGGGGATATATGCACTTCCTTTACCATAAAGTATATCAGAAGAGCTTTATCTCCCTGGATATGAATGACAACAGATTCACCGTGTCTGGGCACAGAGTCAGGAAAGGAGACTGAACCATATCACCCTTAAGCAATCTAAAACCTTTCATAATGACCAAGCACATTTTGAAAAAGTTGTCACTAGGCAACTTCATCACTGTATGAACAAAACACCTCTAAATTTGGAAGGTTTAAACTTTCGTCCCAAACACATAAGTGTACCAAGAGCCTCAGTTTGCTAATGCCTCATGGGCTATAGAAAGCCTACAGACATGGTACAAGTTTGACTACTGAGGTACACTGACTCTACAATGTAACACATGGACACTACTTTTAAACCCCACTTTGGATATTAAAAGAAAAAATACAGAAAAATCTCAACTAGTGTACAAAAATGAGTGATTAAAAATCCCGACCTACTGAAATAACGGGCTTACATGTCCCCAAAGCCTGCTACTAAGCCGATGGTGAAACTCATAGCTTATCCTTATTCCATAGTCCTTGCTCCAGAAGGCTTTCAGCTGGCTTGAGCAGCCATTTCAATGATAATAATTGGAATTATTATTATGCAAGCACCTTTTTCTAGCCTTGAATCCCTACCCTTTTGCAATACACTCTAATCTGCTAAGTTAAGCTAATGCTCAATGCAGCCTCTAAATATGAATAAGAAAACCTCATAAAAGTATAGCTGTTGTGATTTTTAAAGACATACATGAAGACAGGAAGAACTAAGATAGAATCTGGTCTAAGAATTCACTACAACTGTTGAAATCATACTATGCCCTACTCCAAGAAACTCCGTATTGTATAACACTGGCTTTTTGGGCTCTGTTTTGGCCTCACATTCCATTATAGAAGAAGCCTCTGACTACGTTTTGACTGTGGCCCCTTGGTGGACCCCAAAACACACCCTCTATCAGACATCACTCACCTGGCACTCACTGGCTAATGACTCATTCCTGGGAACCAGCCTACAAGTTTATTAGGAATAAGTTAAATTGGAGGCACATGTGTGTGCTAAAATCATACCAGGGAAACTCAAGAATTTATGGGGCACACCGGGTTGAGAAAAAGAGCAATGCTCACACCTGGCCCTCGTAAGTGATGGATACCTAACACTGTGGAGGAATGGCCCCAACAAGCCTATAATTTCATACCTGGTGTGTGTCAATGATCAAGGATCATGGACTCCCTGACCTGGCTCAGTTACCCACTGTTTGACACAGGTACCCGGCTGCTTACTCATCTTCCTGTTCACCTCATCTGGACTTGTACCTGACCAGATCTATTCCCTGAACCACCTCTGTTCCCTGCTCCTGATCCATTTCCGCTCGGGACCCAGTTTTGCCTTTACTTTTCTGTTTCTGCAGCTTCACTCCCAGGTTTCAGCTCCAGCAGTAGCTGCACCAGCAGCTCGTTTTCCACACCAATATGGTTCACTTTTTGTCTACATTTTTCTACACAGACTCTTCCTTAGCCCACTTCTAAGAGCTCTTGAACTTTGAATTCTGCCGCAGTCTCTTTTACTTGTATTCATACATGTGTGTGATTGTTTATCTGCATACACACATATATTGCATGTGTGTGTGATGTAAAAGAGTAAAGAGTAATCAAGATAGAATAGCAATTAATTAGAATAAAAAACTTTCATTTACTTTGTTCAAGCTACCAAGGTGGGTGGGGTTTATTACAAATTATTGTCATTGAAACTACTAAACCTTATGAATTTGGCGTTATTCAATATATGCTGACACTGTGGAAATACACAAGAATGTCCATCTGTGTTACTGACACTGCTCACTCATGACAGCATCAGTGCTGATAATGAACATGGTACCTTAGTTTGGGGCAGGGAAATGTAAGTGGATGTAGAATAGCGTCACAAGCAGTAATTGATAAGCAGAATCAAGGTGACATCTAATACTTGTCTGGTGCCATTTGAAGAGGCAGAAGAGACAAAAACAAGAAGAGAAATTGTGAGCTCTGATTTGGGTGTGTCATGTTGAGATCTTACACAGATGGACAACAGAACTTTTAACAGCTTCATATTCACAACTACATTATAAAATATATAATTTTTCTGAAAAAGTTAGGCAAACTCTATGAAGTAATGAAAAAGAATCTGCAATAAATGAAAACAAAACAAAGGAAATGATTCAGCATAACTGCATTTAAGGCTTATTTACATCTGTGGATATACAAGAGCACGTTTGCCTATATATCATACATATAGATCTGGAAATCTCAAACTTCCAAAAAGGGCCAATTATGCTGTAGAAGTCACAGTATAAGAGTCACAGTAGCTTCCAGAGAAGCCCTAGTGAAGCCCCACTACCAAAATTGAGATAAGTAAGTCACCTTCCTTAATCTGCAACCCAGCTTTCTATATTACTCTTATAAAACTGCCTTATCCTAACACAATCAAACTCCAGGGACTTGTTTATTCTTTCAGAATTACTGGGGAGATTCGGGAAGCATGGAACACAATCCCAGGTAACTCTTTAGAAAATGTACATATGATCTGACCCCTACAGGTTCGTTATGCCCACATCTTCATATGTATTGCACACAGAGAAAGTAGCACCGAATGAACGTGCATGGTCATTCAAAATGTATCATGTCTTAACCCAAAAGCTAGGGCTTTAGAAATCTCAAGCACAGATATAAAGTGACAAAGGATGTCTTCTAAACACATGGAAATAAAGATTGTATTCACATTAAAATCTCAACATGTGGTTTCGATGATTTTCTCAAAACATTGGAAACACAAATATGCCAAGCAGAATATGAGCTACACTACAGAAAATGGACTACCACAGTATTTATTATACCCTAGACTAACATGAAATGTAACACAGGAATGAAATGTGTCAGGGTGTGTGTCCATGCATGCATGTATCTGTGTGTACTCTATTAAAATGTCTCTTTCCAGGCTTTCTTTGCTGTACTTAAAGTCTGAGAGTGAAGTGGAAACTACAAATTTTCAAATAAAGATCATGATTTGAAACACTGTCCATTCTAAACTGTCAAACAAATCCACAAAGCTTTGAGAGACTCCATGCACAAATCCAGTTGTTGATATGACTTGCTGAGTATAAAAATAGGAGTTTCAAGGTCTGTGTGATTCTCTCCACTTACCTCACTGGCTATCTTGGCAGCGTTTTTGGCTCGTTGTATTTCAAGAGTATCAGTGTCAATTTGCATTCCTTTCCCTTTAATTTCCAACTCCAGGTCCTTCTTGTATTCTTTCTATAATAGCAACATTGAACACAATTTAGACACACTGTGGACAACATATACTTGTAGTCAATGACCAAGAGAGAGGCTGTGAGATGACTTAGTGGATAAAGCACTTTCTATACAAGCATTAGGATTAAAGTTTCGATCCCTCAGAAGCCACATAGACTAGACAAGACACATCAGTAAGCTCAGTTCAGCAGAGACCCTCAGTAGAGAGAAATCACAGAGACACTCAGCCTCTGGACACATACCACATATATGTGCAAACACAGATGCATGAATGTACAACACACACACACACACACACACTTTAAGAATGAAGAGAAAAGGTAAATAACCAAAGTCCAAGAGAATGGAATGTTTATTACTATGCACAATCCCCCAGAACTAAGTAATTTGGGAAGTATGCATAATTAAAACCACTATTCTCACTGGAGATGTTTTTATACTGTTAAAGGGGAATTCTTGAGTGAGAATTTTCATGAAGAGTTGTCTTGGACCTGAGAGACAGACAAAAAGATACAGATGGGTTCACACTATAGGAAGAAGATTGCTAAGGAGACCAGAGTGCTCAGCAGCCAAGCCCTGCGACACTACAGATGACTCCTACTGGTCCTTCTTGTCTGTGAAAGAAGGATGAGCGTTGCTCAATGGGAGAGCCATAGTGAGGAAAATGAAGCAGCAAACACAGAGCCCATCATTAGTGGGACTTAGGAATAGAAGGACGGCTTTCTCTAGTCTCCGTTTCTATATGACCTATATGACCAGGCCAGTCCTTTTTTTTTTTTTTTTTGTCCTAAAGCATCATGGCTTGTTGTTATTTATACTACCATCTTAGCACTCAATTTTCAACTGGACCCTAACAATTTACATATAAAGTAAACTCTCCAGATATAATTGACAAGCAATAACAAGACTGACCTCCCAACGTTAACTGGACACATTATCACAACTAAAGAAGACTAGCAGTCTTCCCTGTTTCCATATAAATTTCAAGACTGTTTTATCAATTTCTGTGAAGAATGCAAACAGGAATGCTTTGACTTCTTTACCTATATCACTTTTATTTCCCATTGTTATTCTATTGTTCTAGCCTCACTTCAAGCACTGTATTGAACTGGAGAGGAGATAATGCCCAGCTTTGTCTTGTTCCTGATTTTAATGGAGTTGCTTTGGGGTTTTCTCCATTTAGCACAAGTGCAGTGGGTTTGACATGTAGAGCAGCCTTTATTATGTTGAGATTTGTTCTCTCCATTCCTGTTGTGTCTAGGACTTTTATTATGAAAGGATGTTACACTTTGTCAAAAGAATTTTCTGTATCTACTAAGATGATCATATATTTTGTTTTTAAGTCCATTTACAAGTTTTATTACATTTATCAATTTGCATATGTTAAGCTATCCCTGCATCTTTGAGATAAAGCAAACTTGGTCATGGTGAATATTATTCATGAGTACCTTTGTTCAGTTTGTTGTTATGTCTCCCTGTCAGCTCTAATTTTATTAATTTGAATATTCTCTCTTTTAGCTAATTTGACTAAGTTTTGTCAATCTCATTTATCTTTTCAAAGAACCAACCTCCATGTTATTGCTTCCTCAGAGTGCACTGTTGGCATATTTGTCTCTAGTTCTTTCATTTCTGCCCTGGTTTCAATTATTTTTCCTATCTACTGCTTCAGTTTGGTTTGTTCTTGTTTTTCCAAACCTTTTGAGTGCCTTATTGAATTATCTGTTTGAAGTTCATCTCATTGTTAATGTAAGCACTCAGAGCAATGAATTTCCTTTTAAGACTTTTTTCATTTTATCCCAGAGATTTAGTAAGCTATGTTTTCATTTTTATTTAATTCTCAGACATTTTCCGTTTCTTTCTTAATTTCCTCAAAAGTTCAAATACTTGACAACTGAGTAGCTTGATCTCTGAGTTTGCATATCTTCTGGTGTGTCTCTTGTTATTTATTTTTTGTTTTTTTCTTATTTGCTAACCAAACTTTACTTGACCGCAGTCAAATTGAATGCATGAATTTGAATACTACTTCAGTATTCCTAAATTTGTTGAGTTTTTTTTGTGTGTGTGTGTATTACTATATTATCTGTTTTAGAGAAACTTCTTTAGCATGCTGCCCAAAACTGCGTCTTCTGTAATGTGTGGGAAGAATGTTATGTGAATATCTATCAGGGTTATTTGACCTATGATGCAGTTTATCTCCAGTGTTTCTCTGATTATATTCTGTCCATTGGGGAAAATACATATTGAAGTCACTACTGTAACTGTGTCAGGGTTAATCTGTGACTTAATGCCTCGCAGTGTTTGCTGTATAAAATTGGGTGCAGCCAACTTTGGTGGACTTGTGTGTAGAATTACAATGTCTTCTTGGTGGAGCAGAATGAAGTGACCTTTTCTCTTCGGATTAGTTTGGGATTGAGGTCATCTGTGTTGGTTCAGAGCAGCTAGGTCTGCTTGTTTCCTGGTCCCATTTGCTTGGATTATTTTTTTTCCATCTTTCTCTCTAGTCAAGAAAGAGAGGTTTATTTCTTGTAGACAACAAAAAGGTAGACACGATTTTCTAATTCTATGGGCTTGTTTATGTCTTTTCATTGGAGAATTGAACCAGAGTGGACAGAAGAGACTGGGTTTCTTACCAGATGTTGGCAGCCAATACAGTCAGGTATCTACAGCAGGGTTCTTAGGTCAGAGTGGGTGGGGGTAGGACCAAAGTGAAGCAGCCAGGTCTTTAACCAGGTGCCGGAGGCCATGTGTGTGCCGGGTACCTGAAGGAAGGTTGTCTGTGTATGTGGGTGTATGTAAAGCTTTTTAACCAGAAAGGGTCTCGTCAAAGCCACAATGTTAGAGCAAAGTCACGACCATACAAGGACTAGGAGACTGAAACTATGTCTCGGACACTTCATTTCTTCTTATAAAGTTCGTGTGTAATGAGAAACAACTACTTTCACTCCATATGGAGCTTTAACTATTTAGCGACCAGCTGAAGACTAGAAACGTGTGTTGCTTAAAGAGAAAAACAGCACAAGCCGCTCAATTGCAGTTGTTTCCAGGACAGGAGGCCACACCTTTTACTTGCCTTCCAAAAGCAAGCCAAATCTCACAGGAGTATCTTGCCTATGACGCAGATTTCTCTAAACTGACCACTTTCTGCCCCCACAGCATATAGAAAGATTGTGAGGAAGAAGTTACCTCTGATTTGCTTCCCGGGAAAAGCCTATGACATCGACGTTCACTATCACCTACACACACGAGTTGTGTCACATAGAACCTTCAAGAAAGCTACAACAGCAGGGAAAGCAGCCGAAAAGGCTCTCATTCTGACCAGCTAACCGAAGCTACTCACCTCGCTGGCCATTTCAGACGCTCTCTTTGCTCTCTGAATGTCAAGAACTTCGGAACTAAGTTCCATCCCTTTCCCTTTTATTTCATTTTCCAAATCTTTTTTATATTCTTTCTGTAAGACAAGAATAGAACATTTCATCTGAAGATATGTCAGCAACTACTGTAACTCATATGCCAGTGTACGGATCTTCTCGAGACCACAGACAGGAGAAAATATTGCTAGGAAGGAAGAAAATTAGATGCTGAACATTCCTGCCTTTTCCCATTGATGTTTAATTTTCTCCTCTATCAAACTCAAAGTGGCATCCACTTTTGCCAGTGTTTCACCCTTTCTCCCAATCTCTTTTGGTATCATACTGAACTTCTTCAAAAAGATATCTTCCCTTCAAGTGCTGGAGAAAATCTTAAGAATAAATATGCTTCTTTTGTTTGAAGTGATTTTGGAAATATCTATTTAATGTGAATTTCTAAACGAACTGACTGGAAAAGAATTACAAAGCCAAAGGTTGCTGTAGCCAGAGGTATTTTTAAGTTTGTATTTTATTCAAAGATCTGTTTTAAAAAGATCTGTCTTAATATCGCATTTTTTTTTATTTTTTAGATAGAGCCTCATAAAGCCCAGATTGGCCTAGAAATCTCTACAGAGAGAGATATGACCTTGAAGTTCTAACCTCTCTCCCCCTCCCTCCAGAGTGCTGGAGTTCTAGGTATGTACGGCCACAGCTGGTGTGTGCGTGCTGGGATGGCAAGCACCCTGCCAGCTGAGCTACATCCCAGCCTTTGACACTATATTTTAAGTAGACATGGCTGCTTTGCAGACCCTTCTTTATAAATTATTTCCTACTGAAAAACTGCTTATTTCCTTATTTACTTCCATTATAAAACAAGATCTTATTCTGTCATAACAGGCTTCATTTTATGACTATTTTGCTCAATAAAAATTATAACTCCCCTTAATAATAAGAGATCAGATTCCAGTTAATTCTGCAGTTTCTGTTATGTCACATGCCCCTTTCATAAATCATTAAATTAGCCTGATTTCTGATCAAACAATGACTTTAGGGGACTTTGTCAAGCCTGCGTGTGATCTTGGAAGTGGCTCTCAGTCAAACGACCTTGCTGAAAGTCACAGCCTCGTTACTAATTTGATCGTGTGACCTTTAGGAGGCCTTTGAGTAACTCAGTCTCCATTTCCATCTTGATAAAAGGAAATAAAATAAATGTTCTATTAACACCAAAGGGCAATGGAGAAAAATCAGGCAAAATATTGGAGCAGCCAAAGGCCTTACATAAAACATACACTTTAAAATATAAAGTGATACTTTGGAAACTCTAAATGGCAATATAAAACCATAAAGTATAGAGCGAAGAATCCATTTACAATTAAGGGCTAATATGTAGAAATGTATAATTGTATAAAGTAACCAAATGGCTTTTTCCATTAGACATCTCTGTGCAACTAAGTAAAACATTGGCCGTTGTGAATGAAGTACTTGTGAGTCTTCTAAAACCCATGCGTTGTGGCCTAGCTCCTTTGGAAGGTAATTTGGTTTGACTGGGTTACAGGGTAGGGCCCATGATGAACTAAAGGCTCCACAGAAAACAAGACCAGAGACCCCTTGTTACCTCTATTGTGGTGGCAGTCAGGCAGCAGCCAATGGCAAGCAAGAACAGAGCTCTCACCTGGAGCCAAACCCACCAGCACCTTGATTTGGGGTTTGGTTTTCAGAACCAGGAGGACTGTCTGATTTGAAGTCACTCAGTCTATGATATTTTGTTCTAATAGCCCCAAGCTGCCTAATCTAATGAATAGTTTTGTCGGCTTTTACCTGTCCAGTTCAGACATTCTGAATCCTAAGTCCAAACGCTATTAAGTAAATCTTGCTATGTTTTAATTATAGGCAACTCATAGCATTATTGTTCAGCATGCTTCCTTTGAAGGGACGAGGCTCATATTTTCCCCATTAAGCAAGAAGAAAGGAATAAAAGGAAAAGACTCAGCTCACTTGGTCAGCAAGCAAATGATCGGGAGATCCGACTCTGACATGCACACCAAGAAGATGATTTTAAAACACAGAGCAGTAGCAGGACTCTCCCATGTATTTGTTCTCAGTTTCAAAGAAAATTCCAGGAGTAAGAAGTGACAAAAACAAACACATACACAGGACAGGAGAATCCCTATAGGAGTTGTATGGCTACTCTAGGGAATCCCAGTAATTTCTGATGTCACTTAAATGGCAAAGGTCAGCTGTCACTTAACTTATTAAAAGGTCATGATGACAGGCCTCCAAACAGAAATCATGCTTCAATTCATTCCACTGGCTTGAGACATTTCTTTCAGAGAGATCATTTCTTTGATTCAAAAATTTAGAATAAGATTGGACTTCACTTTTCTTTCTATATTCTACTTATGCATTATATTCTAGATTACATTAACATAAAATCATTCCAATGAGACTATCACAGTAGAATCAGAAGAGCTCTAAGTTAGCTTTGAGCCACTTGGAGGAAAAGGATTAATTTTTAAAATGTTGATATACACACATGTTTTGATTTATTAAAGTTAAGGATTTTAATGTTGAACAAATTTAATATCTCAATTTTCAGCTAAATTTTACTTAAGATTTCAAGAAAATTTCTGTGAAGATAAAAGCAAAGCACAGCAATAAGTTCTTGGGCTCCACGTGCTAACTCTGTAATGTTCCCCTCTGTAGAAGAGAAAGAACTTTTGAATAAATCACAGACTTTCCCGAGTACCTCATTTCTGCTATCAAATGTTGTGCTGCTGCAGGAAAACTACCCAGAAAGCTGAAGAGATGGCTCAGCAGTTCAGAGCATGTACGGCTCTCGAGGATCTGACCTAGGGTCCCAGTTTGGGTGGCTCACACCTCCAGTTCTAGGCGACTGAAGACTTCTGGCCTCCATGACACCGTACTTAGGTACACAAATTCACACGCAAACAAATAATTACAAATTAGGATTCAATTTTTTTAATTAAAGATGATTGTAGAAAATGTTTCATGATACTAAATTTATGAGAATCAAGTTGTCAAAAAATTGATTTTCTCAGCCAGGCATGGTAGTATATTTTTTTAAACCCAGCACTCAGGAGGCAGAGACAGGTGGACCTCTGCAAGTTCAAGGCCAGCCTGGTCTTAAAAGTTAGTTCCAGAGCAAGGCTTAACGTTTGCACCCCAGATGTGCTAATCTCCAAGATTTCCCCAAATGTGGAAAACTCAACTATATAATCTGTGGTAGTGGGGTACTGCATATATTCACCTCTCTCTAAATAAAAAGTTTATATATATTATGTCTTTTACAGTATAAAATTATATATAATTTTCTATGGTTGTATGATAGAGAGAATGAAGTGTTTCTTGTAAGAGCCAGCTGCTATAGAGCTATAAAACTCCCTACTCACAAAGCTTCTGAGCTAGAATCACAACACAAAAGCAGAAAACTTTTCAAGTTTTTACAGAACATATGGAGAATTTCTTCCTTCAACAGCAAACAGACATATTAACTTGCACTTCCCTGAGTTAAGAAAATGCAAAACTCTGTTAGTGAAGGCCAGGATAAGGCATTCACACCTCAGGTATGCAGCTGGCAGAGAACTGCTGAGCAGATGTTTCTGGAGTCTTTTTTCCTCCTGTGTGATATCTACTATAAATGCACAAGGCCATACCTCCCTCATCAGGTTGGTGATGTACTTCACGTGTAGAAATGCAGGAGTCTTGTCTAAATCCAGCGAGGACCTCCCTTTAATCTCCTTCTCAAAATCTTCTTTGTAAACTTTCTGTCAAATAAGACCACATTATAGTCCATATTGAGAACTCTAGTGAGTGTAAGGAAACCACAAGAACAAGCATTCAGTCTCAGAACCAAACTAGTGTTCTCTCATATAATTCTACCATCTTGTCTTCTTTGTTATTTTTAATAAACTTTGTTACAAAAAGCTTGCAAATAAATAAGAACAACCCCACACACCAAAATTAAGCAGCCTTCTTAACAACAGTACAAAAATTCCAGTTTTTTTAATTACACAATGTAGGTAGAGTTTTCCTGTCAGGACTGCTGGTCAATTCTGTCCCACCAGCCAGCTTCCAAAATAAACCACCCAGAGACTTAATATTAATTATAAATGCCTGGCTGATGGCTTAGGCTTATTGCTAACTAGCTCTTACAACTTAAATTAATCTGTATTTTTATCCCTTTAGTTGCTGCCACATGGCTTACTGCAAGACAATTCTACCAATGAAGAACAGTCACCAAGCAGCCTCTCCTGCATAGTGAACTGAGCATCTGTGATTAACATTGCTCCACGTATAGGAAGAATAAGACAGGCTCTCTGATTGGATCATCTGATGACTTCACTCAAAGGACGTTTGGCTCATCCACTAGAAGAAAATCTGGTGGTGTAGAAGCCAATTGAAACTCTCCAGAAGTATAAATGCTCAAGACCCCATTATTCTTCTCAAAGTGAGTCTTTTGTGAGTCTGGGAGAACTAATTTTAAAATGGAATCAAATGAATGAGGAAGGGGTGGTATTGTTGCTTTATGGTTTGATCCTGGGAGTCCATGATTGAGCACTGACTCATCAAGTGTGAGGTCTGAAGCTCACATGAGAAACGAATGGAAGATGTCTATGGTGCTCCTGTTGGAGAAGAGCTAACTCTATAGCAATCCTTGCCTTTCAGGCCTGCTTTGACATCTTTGGTCATGACTAAAAATTTCAGCATTTGAGTTTCACACTTGACAATCACTGACAACCATGTTTTATATTTAAAGATTCATATATTTTTATTTTATGTGTTTGAGTGTTTGGGTTGCAATATATATGTGTACCATGGAGGCCAGAAGAGAACACTGAATTCCCTGGAACTGGAGCCAGATGTTTGTAAGATGTCATATGGATGTCGGATTCTGAACCTAGGTTTTCCACAAAAGCAGCAAACACTCTTAACCACTAACCAACCTCTCCAAAAATAATAACCCATGTTTTAAGAGTATAAAGATAATCTCTTCAAATGGCAAATTATCTATTCATCTGAAATATTCCGTAAACAGGAGCCAGATTTTGTCAAATATCTTATTCAAAATACATCATAAAGATGATAAAATAGATGAATTGTGCCTAAAATTGTTATTCGTGCAAAATTAGAAGCTATTTCTAGGTTTATTATGCATTTGTTACAAAGAAAAGTGATTCCACAAATAAGTGTATTCTCCAAAGCAGAAGGGAGATGAGGAGAAACACATTGCCTCGTAGTTTAGCATTTGTCTTACATGTAGTCACTCAACCAATAATGAGCAATACTATGAGAAAAACTGGAGTACATAGATGTTCACTAAGTCAATCAAGAAGCTTCACTAAAAGCATTTTGACTTAAAGAATCATAAGTACACAAAAAGCAATTATGAGAAATTGTTCTTTTTTTCATGCAGAACTAATTGGGTTAGAATGACTACACACCCAAAAGCTGACATTTGACATTTCTAGGCCAATGTATTTTATAAAGCATTCTTTATAGAGTAAAACAAAGTGTGTGTCTGCATTGATTTATATTAGCTATTTCACTTCAAAAATGCTTTTCTGGAGGAAAATCACTGCAGTACGTCATTGAGGAAGGATGACTGAGATTGGAGGGGCCCAGTGCTCAGCACGAAAGAATCAAAAACCTCTGTTAGGCTCCGTAAGGAGACACATTTGTGAAAACAGAAACAAAGAACTTCCCAAGGACAAAGTTAGAGATTTCGTCTAGAAAACACAGATTAATCCTATATCTAGGCACTAGGTGAAACAAGACAAACACGATTAAAGGTTAGAGCAAAAACACGAATGACTTTCTTTGAAGTCAGGCTTTTCCAATCGGGAACCTCAAGGAATACAATCCAGGCTAGTTTTAAAGGTCAACTCTAAGACAGGGTGATGTGGGGTTCCCTTCCGTATGCTATGAACGTGTTTTATTACCATTAGTTAATAAAGAATCCTCTTTGGACTATGGTAAGGCAGATTAAAGCTAGGCAGGAAAACTAAATGAATTCAGGGAGAAAGAAGGTGGAATCAGGCTGATGCCATGTAGCTGCCAAAGAAGAAAGATACTGGAACCTTCACGGTAGGTCACACTCTCGTGATGATACTATAATAGAAATGGGTTAATTTAAGATGTAAGAGCTATCTAGAAATATGCCTGAGTCATCGGCCAGTGTTGTAATTGGTACAGTTTTGTGTGATTATTCCAATCTGGGTGGCCGGGAAACGAATGTGCAGTCTCCGTTTATACAGGGGTTCTCTTCAGGTCTGTTTTATTCTTTCTATATCCAAAGGTATTTTAGTGCATCATCTTGATCTAAAATTTTCAGACTTTTATTTCTCTAGCCTTGAGAATATCAATCTGACCCAGAGAACTCCCCCTAATGGAAGCCTTGACTCTCATCAAGCCTAGCTGATAACAGGCAAGACTGAAAAATTCTGAAGGGAAATGAAAAAGGAATCTAATCATCAGTGACTATAATTAAAGGGACAACCTGTCTCACTAGTAGGAGGGAAAGAGCAAATAAGGTGAAGAAAGGAGGAGAGGCTCTCATGAGAGATGAGGTGCTAAAATCCCAACTCTCCAAATTACTACTGTTTCTAATTTAGAAATGAGGCCTCGAAATATATTAGCCATAAATGATGAGGTAGGTATAGGTCTGTTGGTGAGAAGAAAGTTAAGTAGTCAGAGTACAAGAAAATTAAGTAATCCCAAGAAACAGCAGGATAAAGGGTTTTCAGCGTGGGTCCCTCTCTCTGGTCCAGGATGCCGGGAGAGAGTGGCAGGAGCTGGCCAGCTTAGGAGGCATGAAGAGGCTGTCAGTGCGCCGTGGGGTGTCTGCAAGAGTCCATGGAGGAGCAATGGGGTTGATGTGAGGGACCACGAGGTAACTGGGAAGAGGTCATGGGAAGGTTAAGGGGACACCAAGGACAAGGTTACGAGGAAGCCATGGAGATGCTGCAAGAAGTTATGGAGAGGCTGTGGTGAAGCTGGGAGATCGCGGTGATGAGGAGACAGAAGCCACCCTCCAGGTGTTGCTTTCATAATAAATAAATAACTAAGTGAATAACAAGAGACCTTTGTTCTCTGTATCCTTCCATGAGCGTGGGTTTAAGAGTTTTACGGAGAACCGTGAAAGTCAAATTCTCTCCCTGGGCTATAGACCTGCAACGGCGGCCATGTACTTCCTACAAAATGGGAGAGTCATTAAATCCCATTGCTAGCTCCCGTAAAAGGGAGCACTGCAATGGCAGCTAACCGTGCAGTAGAAAGGCTGTCCTGAAATGCTTCCTATACAGTTGTCTAAATGGAGAAATGAGGTTCCAGTATAGTTTGTTCTCTCTAACAAAAGTGAGCTTTTGTGGACTTCTAAGCTTGAACCAAGTTTACCAGCTCTGCCAAGTCACCTAAAGGAGTCAGCTCACTTAGTCACCACAGGTACTGACAGTTCTTTATCAAATTCAATAAAAGACTTAAGAAGATATGACAGAGGAGGATAAATAATGTCCCTCTCCTCTTTGACTTAAGAAGAAATTAAACCAAATGTGTCCAGTCTTATTGTCTGAAGGTCTTTTTTCTTCCCCAAAAGGATGGATTATAGCGTCTCAAAGCAGATGGCAAACGAAAACATAACACTAAGTTGCAAATGTCTGACAGTACTGGTCACTGCCTCTGTCCCTCAAAAGTAATAGCCCATTGGTAACCACAGAGGGTAGATACTGACTGCAGACAAAACTGTGCCTGGGAAGAAAATGAAGGGATCAACTGGCCAGAGAAAATATAATCTGAGGTGCTGTGTGATGTTTTACTCTTTTGGCTTCTGAAGTACCCATGCCCTAATGAGCTGGTACTTCAAAAGCTATTGGCTGAATGAATTCACACAACACTGAAGAGTATCTGCCTATAGCAGCGTTATCCTCTCTTAGAAGCAAAGTAAACACAACATATTCATGAATTTCCTGGGTACCAAGATTGTGACCAGGTACTAAAACACTGGTGAAATTTACCAGATATGTGACTTTATTTAAGATAGTTCACTTCAGCACATTACAAATGCATACATAGATTGCATTCTCCTCAAGCCATCTGCTTAAGGACTAAGTGAGCTGATGTAGGTGAGGCTCTTAGCAAGGTGGCAGGCACAAAATAAGGATTTAATTATTTGATTGTTGGTTCTTTTACCATTGTAGGGGGAGGGAAAGAAAAGCAACCAGGTCTTCATTTTTCAATTAATTTTAGATACTCAGTTTTACATCAACACAGTTTGAAAGTGTTGATTTATAGTCATGGTCAATCTGAAAAAGTGTAAGTGCTTTTCTGTGGAGGGCCGCAACCACATTCTCCATTGCTTCAAGGGACAAAGGTAGAGATTGACCTCTGTGACCTCAAGGTGTGGTGGTACACGCCTTTGGTCCCAATGCCTGGGAGGCAGAGACAGGCAGATCTCTGTGAGTTCAAGGTGTTGTAGCACACGCCTTTAATCCCAGCGTCCCTGCCTACTTCCGAGGCATCATCTGGGATAATGGGCCGCAGACCAATCCAAGAGTGACACGTCAGAAGCGAGGACTGTTTCCTTTATAAGGGCTGGGTTCCCCTCATTCTGGGTCTCCGCAATGTAAGCTTATGCTCTCCCTCTTAAGACGCATTAAAGCTTTGCTGCAGAAGGATCCTAAGTGTCCCGCGTCATTCTTGCGGGCGAGATGGTAGCACGGGACACTTTTCCATGGGTTATGAGGGCAAAGAGGAGTTTGTCTGATTCAGCTACAGTTGTTAATCAGTAAACTATAAAGCAGACAAATTCAGTGACTTCTGGCAGTGGGAGGCTAGATCTATGCTGCAGAGCTGTACTGAGTCTAGTATGGAGTCCTTGGGCCTCCCTGCAGAGCTGTGTTGGGTCACAACAGGGGTCCTGGAGCCTCCCCTGCAGAGCTGGGCTGAGTCTAGAACAGAGGTCCTTGAACCTCTCATGTAGAGCTGGGCTGAGTCTAGAACAGAGGTCCTTGAACCTCCTCTACAGAGCTGAGCTGGGTCTAGAACAGGAATCCTTGAACCTGCCATGCTGAGCTGGGCTGGGTCTAGAACAGGAATTCTTGAACCTGCCATGCTGAGCTGGGCTGGGTCTAGAACAGGAGTCCTATAGCCTGCCCTGAAGAGCAATGTGGGGTCTAGAACACAGGTTTCCAAGCCTCCCCCACAGAGCAGCGCTCTTGTCTGTAGCCTCCATTCATCACCGGCTGATTCTTTTCAAATGAGAAAACTTCAAGTACCCTTGAGGTTCTGGCACCAAGCCCAGTCCCCTACCACACTCTGCATCTTCTGAGCCTCCTTTGAAGCCTGATACGATGGCGTCTCCACAAACTCAAGCATGGACTTTCCTTTATTTTTCTCATATTCTTCTCTGTATTTCACCTGTATGAAAGAAAAACATTAAAAGCATATAAAAATAACAGCTATACATAGTTCAGTGACAGAGCACATTCTTAGCAAGGGCAAGGTCTTGGGTTCAAATAACAACAACAATAATAATAATAACAACCAAAATACCAAGTATAGATCAAAACAAGATAAATATACCCAAAACTAATCATCTTCTTTTGTGATATCAAGTTATTCCGGCAGTTTAGGGTGATGAGTGAGTTCCAGTTAGTGACATACAAGAAAAGGGAAGAGGTTATATATAAAACCTCTTAAGGATAAAAATTTATTTTAGCCCAACTAGAAGGTTTTTAGTGTCATGGTACTCTAAATAACGTGTTATATATCAAAATATTTTGTCAGATTGGTAGAATACAAACATATTTAATAAATACATGGGGTTATTTATGTCTGTGCTCACACCATATATATGTGGGGCAGAGAAGAATGGAGGAAGAGGGAGTGGGGAGAGATCTCGGTGATAGTCTCCATGTCTATCAAAACATCGTGAATAAGTTTAAAAATGGATATGATAATCTTTCTGTCAAAATAGAGAAAATAATCCTGGGAACTCCTGAGTTTTCCCACAGATATTAATAAAACACATGTGATTTCCCTGTATTTCACTATCCATTAATATTATCATATTGTGAATTATTTTTTAATTAAAATTAGTTTTATCTCCATTCTGTTTATAAAAGGAAGGAATTTTCTGTCATTTCAGGTTTTGTTTCTCTATTTTCTTTGTGTATGCATGCATATGTGTTTGTGTCTGTAGTGTATGTCTGTGGTGTATACACATGTCTGTGTGTACAAGTGTGTGTACCTGTGACTGTGCAACAGAGGCCAGAAGAGGATGTAGGGTGTCCTACCTTATCACCCTCTCTCTTACTTCCTTGAGACAGGTAGACCTGGATGTGGAATTAGAAATCCACAGAAATCCTTCTGTCTTCTTTGCCCTCATACCACAACGTTACAACTACAGGGGCAGGTAGTTGTAACTTTGACCTGGGTTCTAGTGATCTAGGGATGAGCTCAGATCTTTAATATTTGTATTTGTATAGCAAGGACTCTTACTTGATGAGCTATATTCCCAACCTGGCTTCTTCTATTTCTAAAAAAAATTATATATAAACCATCATCATCGTTGAATTTTAGTAACAATATTTTAACTGAGTTCATAGAGCTTTGATTATGACCCATTTCACTCAGAAATGTATTTTCATTAAATCTTGAGCTTTGTAATTGTTTGTTAAATTTTTTAACGTGTTTAATGATAATGGTAGTGAGCTCAACCCAAAGAAAATTTCCAGTACTTAGAACTTTGTAATGACAGGAAAACAATTTTGAAATGCCTATTTGTGATACAGTTTTGTTATAGAAAATTTTAATTGATAAACAAGAGTCCTGCATAAATGATATCATACTCTATTAGAATAAAGTTTTGTGAGAGAAAATTAAAAGAAAATAAGAATTTATGGTGATCATAGTGGTGCACATCTGTAAACCCACCACTGGGAAAGCAGAGGTCGGAGGTGAACTGCAAGTCAAGTTACATACAAACTTTTAGGTCAGCCCTATCTTGAAGAAGAGAGAGAGGGAAGAGGGAAGGAGGAAGAAAGGGAGGGAGTGGGACAGAGAGAGAGAGAAACTGAAAACAGATTTAAAGACAAAATTTGTGCTTCCAAACTTTGGGGAAGGGTGTTGAAGTATCAACTGGATGCACTCTAGAATATCGATGAGAGACTCCCTAGGTCAGGTTGGCCTGTGGATCTGCCTGCAAGGAATTGTTTCATTTATGTTCATTGGTGTGGGAAGAGACAGCCTAAAAGTGGGTGATTTTGTCCTAGGCTGTGTGGGAAAGGAGAAAGTGAGTTGAGCACAAGAACGCGTGCATTACCTCATTGTTCTCTCCTGTGTCTCCTGTGGATGTAGCTGTGTAACCAACTGCTTCAAATCCCCACCACCTCGGCGCCCCTGCAGTGACGGGCTATAACCTGTGAACCCAATGAACACTTTCTCTCTTGAACTGTCTCATCACAGTGAGATGAAGGGAAGCCGATAAGGAGAGTCATTTACTTTCAAATCATTGTGGAATTTATGTTCCACAGAATACATTTAAAAGTCATGTAAATGTTTATCTTAACAGATGCTAGAAATAGCATCTTTAGCAACTACTTAAACTTATAATAATAACTTTTAAAAAGATCCTGAACTTTGCTAGGAAAAAAGAAAGTTTTAAGGTTTTTTTTAACAGAATACATAGGGTTTCATAGTTAGAAGAAACATTAATTTAAAATACATTAGTAAGGATGTTTTCCCTTTTCAATAACACTTATAATTAAATGAAATTATAATAAACCTTATACCCAGAAAATTAATTTTGTAGCTCAAAAATGTCAAATCAGCACACTGTAAAATTTTAAATCATCATGAGATTTGATCACAGTTTAATTAGTTCCTAGATTTAAACTTTTTAATTATATGAAGAACATATTTTTATGAAGCCACTTTAAGTTGAAACATGGTTCCAGCTCCCTGACCCAAAAGATAGAAGTCTGAGAATTTTTTCCTGAAGCAAAATTAATGTTCTCAGGCTCCACTTTTAAGAACATGGCTCTGAGCAGCAGGCAATCCCACGGTCCTTAGGTCTGAGTGGTAGCAGCACTCAGGGAACCCACCTGACTCTGGAGGCTGGCATTGCCTTTGTGATGCAGGTGTTCAGTGGCCTCGGCATCAAAGTGATACATCCCTTTGTTCTCCTCAAAATCCTTTTTATATTCCCACTACAAAACAAACATGAAAGTTAGTTCAGAGTGAAAGAGACTGGAGAGTAAAATCAAGATTTAGGAATATAACTGGGTGGTAGTAGCTCTTGGGAGGCTGAGGCAGGAGGACTACTGTGAGTTCCAGACAACTGTGGACTACAGAGTGAGGGTGTCTCACAGCAATTCTTAGTAAAACAAAGAACGCAGAAGCCAGCAGGAAGGAGGGGCAGTGCTGTTACAGAGCCTGTGTCTACAGCAGCCGGCATGGAGGGAGTTCTAGAGCTAAGATACATGGGCAATACCAGATGGTCTCACTGTAGGAGGCCATGAGAAATAGTCAGGGATTAATTGTAAACATGATAAGGAGAATCACAGGGTAGCAATGAGAAGCTAATGATGGGGTCCCAGGGTTCATGAGTGGGCAAGGTGGGGCAAAATAGACACTGCTTCTTATCCTAGGACATATATAGTGTTTAGTTGTGTCCATAAGGAGATAGAAACAAAAAGAAAGGAGAGAAAGGAAGCTAGAAACTAGAACCACGGCTGCAGAAAAAGACTTAGCCATGAGCAAGAATAGAAGTGATAAGGAGAAAAAGAAGCTGAGAAATAACTGAACTAATTTCAGAATTCCAAGGAAAGAATGGGAGCATCGAGAAGAGGACCTGAAGGATGTGAGTCCAATTCATTGATTATTTTTTGCGTTGAAGAAATTGGACCTCTGCTATTTAGACATACATGAGAAGGTAAATTTGGAAGAGACCAGAATGAGTAGAAATGACATTTTACTATAGACCTGCAACCGTGAAACAAGATTGCTTCTTGATTTCTAGCACTAGAGACCAGACACTTAGTAATTACTCCTACTTGGGAAAGACTTCTACAAGCCAACAGTAGTCTCAGAGATGCAAGGATACAGAGACTGACAAAGGTAAAATCAATTGCCATGGGTTCCAGGAAAAAATGTTATTCTTTGTAGAATGAAGGGAAGTAGATGCAGCTTTTGAAGGGAAGCCTAAGAGAAGTGGCCAGAGAGACCTTAGGAGATGCTCTGAGTACAGGAGTGTGAAGAAGGGAGATGCTGGTGACCTGCCACAGAGTCGCTGCTCCATAGGGACAAAGTTCCAGAGAGAGCCTGGCTTCCAGCACTGGGGAAGCGAGGACAGGTGTCACTGAACTCTAACCAGAATGAAATACATTTGGAAAGCACCAAAGAGAAGTCTTGACAATGTCCACACATTACATCTTCACTGAAGAGAACAACTAAATTTGGATTCCTCTATTAATATTAAGTTAAAGCCAAATAAAAGCTAATTCAATCAAACGGCAAAGTCTAACCTGAATGATATATTAAGAAACTTTGTACTTTGTTTAGATATTCTTTTATAATATCTACTTATAAAATAAATGTAACTTCAATGTATTAAGGCAGAACACGTTCTATTATGGAATCAAAATCCAAAACTAATGAAATCTAAGGAATTATACTTGGAATAATGAATATGTACTAAAAACGGGCTAAAACCGAACTCTTGGAACTCTAATCTGCAAGTGAAATTTCTAATGCAGGCCTTGTTTCCTGTATTCAATAGTCTCTGTTGCCTCCTAGCGGAAGTTATGTAAAATAACACAGTATATATTTTTAAATTTATATAAAGTTAAGAGGAAATTGAAAGCTCCATTTTTCACGGCAAAGTGTTTCTTCAAACACTTAATTTATGATCTGTACAGGTTTTAAAATTATTCATTCTTCTCTACAGACAACACATTAAAATTTAAAAATTCTGATATAGACCAGGACATTTAGAGATGCTTATGAAAATAGCCATTTATAACAAGCTAGCACTGAACTTTGGCAAAATATCGAATGTGAAATTTCTTCTTCAATATTTTAATAAAATCCAGCCACCTTCTATGTCCAGAAAATTTCTATTCTCCTTATACAAATATTTAAAAGAAGACTATTCTAACTTACAACCAATTTAAAACAATATAGCCTCATACAATTTTAATATGTAAATCATTTGCAGAAAGTCAAACTCTCTGGCCCATGCAATCATTTCTGTGATACAGACTAAGACAGACCAGGGAACTCAGCTCTGGGAACTGTGAATAAATGAGCAACGTGACTTGGTTGGGGGCTGGGAGATGACAGAAACTGTGTGTATTAAAGTCTGATTCTTTTTCTCCATTGTAAAACAAACATTGGCATTTTGAAAAGAAATGTTGGCTGTGAGAGGATTCCATTCTTCCTCTTTTACAAATGAATCCCCAGGTCCCTGGAAGAGTTAGCCTGACATTGGGTTGGGCACAGTATGGGGCCAACACTTCCAGGATGACAAAAGCCAGACACTGGCTGAAGAAAGCAGAGGGTGCAGATGACAGGAAAATGAATACGTGAATCATGGAAGGGCACGAAAGCAGCACAGATGTGTCGGTGTGGCTAGGGTATGTGTATCGGTGTGGTTAGGGTATGTGTGTTGGTGTGACTAGGGTATGTGTGTCGGTGTGGTT